CATCACCCAGGCTGGAGTACAGTGGTGCAATCCTGGCTCAGTGCAACCTCCACCTCCAGGGTTCAGGTGATCCTCCCACCCCAGCCTCCAGAGGAGCAGCTGGGACTACAGTCATGCACCACCACGTTTGGCTTTTTTTTTTTTTTTTTTTTTAGATGGCGCCTTGCTCTGTCGCCAGACTAGAGTGTAGTGGCGTGATCTCGGCTCACTGCAACCTCTGCCTTTTGGTTTCAAACGATTCTGCTGCCTCAGCCTCCCAAGCAGCTGGGACTACAGGCTCTTTAACTTTTTGTAGAGACCATGTTTCACCATGTTGCCCAATTAAAAATGCCAGGTGCGATGGCTTATGCCTGTAATCCCAGCACTTTGGGAGGCTGAGGTGGGTGGATCACCCGAGTTCAGGAGTTTGAGACCAGCCTTGCCAACATGGTGAAACGTCGTCTCTACTAAAAATACAAAAATTAGCTGGCATTGAAGATGATCAAAGGGTGCTTTTAGTCTCAGCTAGTTGGGAGACTGAGGTGGGAAAATGTCATTAACCCAAGAGGCGGAGGTTGCAGTGCACTGAGATCTCCGTCATTGCACTCCAGCCTGGGCGACAGAGAAGACTCTGTCTAAAAAAAAGCCCGGGCGCGGTGGCTCACACCTGTAATCCCAGCACTTTGGGAGGCCGAGGTGGGTGGATCACGAGGTCAAGAGATCGAGACCATCCTGGCCAACATGGTGAAACCCCGTCTCTACTAAAAACAAAAAATTAGCTGGGTGTGGTGGCGTGCGCCTGTAGCCCCAGCTACTCAGGAGGCTGAGGCAGAAGAATTGCTTGAACCTGGGAGGCGGAGGTTGCAGTAAGCCAAGATCGTGCCACTGCACTCAAACCTGGCACCTGGCAACAGAACAACACTCCATTTCAAAAATAAATAATTAATTAATTTTAAAAAATAAAGAAAAGGAAAAAAAGCCAAAGCCAGTTAAAATTTGAAAACAAGAATGACAGTGACATCCCGACATCCACAACAGACTGAGACCCTGCCATGATTGAAGAACCCTGTGAACCCTCCCAGCAAACCTAGCAGGTGAGAGGGCTCTCATCTCACAGAAGAAACTGAGGCCCAGGGGCCACAGTGTCTTGTCCAAGGTTGCTGGGGTCTGCCGCGGAGCCCACGCCTCTTGATCCCAGCCCAGTGCATCTGTTGAGAGAGGCAGCTCCTGGCATAAACCTGCGGGGGCCTTCCTAGTGCAGTTCCGGGAGGCCCCCGGCTCACCACACCCTCCACATGTCCTGAGGGGGTCCCTGTCCAGATGGTGTCAGGGGCCAGTGAGCAGGGGACCCAAAAGCTGCATGGTGGGCACAGAGGTGAAGACACAGAGTCCCAGAGAGGGAAGGGGTTTTGCCCAGGGTCACCCAGCCTGTCAGTTTTCTGAGGCCGCAAGTAACAAGTTATAGACTCAGTAACTTCAAACAGCAGAAATTGATTCCTTTGAAGTTCTGGAGGCCAGAAGTTCAAAATCAAGGTGTAGCAGGGCCCTGCTTCCTCTAGAGGATCAAAGGGAGCCTAAATCTCCCCCAAGGAGACCCTCAGGGCAGGGCATGCACTAACTCTCAGTCACCTCTGTTCAGTAGTCTTAGCACTCATACAGTTTATTTTTATTTTTGTTTTTTTGAGACAAAAAGTCTGGCTCTGTCACCCAGCTGGAGTGCAATGGTGCAATCTTGGCTCACTGCAATCTCCACCTCCCGGGTTCAAGTGATTTTCTTGCTTCAGCCTCCCTAGTAGCTGGTGTGTGCCACCATGCTCAGGTAATTTTTTGTATTTTTAGTAGAGATGGAGTTTCAGTGTATTAGCTAGGATGGTCTCCATCTCCTGACCTTGTGATTCACTCACCTGAGCCTCCCAAAGTGCTGGGATTACAGGCATAAGCCACCACGCCTGGTCTATTTATTATTTATTTATTGAGACAGAGTCTTGCTCTGTCCCCCAAGCTGGAGTGCAGTAGTGGGATCTCCACTCACTGCAACCTCCACTTCCCGGGATCAAGGGAGTCTCCTGCCTCAGCCTTCTGAGTAGCCGGGACTACAGGCATGTGCCACCACACCAACTAATTTTTGTATTTTTGTTAGAGACAAGGTTTCACCATGTTGACCATGCTGCTCTCAAACTCCTGCCCTCAAGTGATCTGCCCGCCTTGGCCTCCCAAAATGCTGGGATTATAGGCATGAGCTGTAGTGCCCAGCCAGGACTTAGACAGTTTAGAGGTTGTATTTGGGCTGGAGTAGAAACAGAACAAAGGTAAAACTATCTCCTTAGAGGAGAAGGGAGGAAGGAGTCAAAGGGCCAGGCACAGACAGCAAGACCCCTGAACAGAGATTAGTCTACACTCGGCCATAAGGTGGGACGGTCAGTGTTGGGACAGGAGGTCACACACACAAGAACTTAGCTTAGAGGTTTTGTCTGGACTCAGAGCAAAGTTATGACAGCAACTGGCTCCTTGGAGGGTGGTGGGAAGGCTGGCTCTGACAGACTGAGTGGTCTCGGCAAGACATCTCTCATCCATGTTTCCTTTGCTTTGCTCTCATCCTCTGGACCTGAAAGATCTGATCCAGACAATTCCTTGAACCAGAACCTGTCCTTGAAACAGGGTCCCAAACTGTGAAGTTTTGCTGATGGCTTCAAGGGGCTGAAAAATGGAAAGACATTGGGCCAGGAGCCCCAGTTGGAGGCCTCCATAGGTCCCCAAGGCAGCAGCAGTGAGGAGAAATTGATCGTAACACATCAGTGAATTCAACAGTGTGGGATTTGTGGAGAATTCAGTGGGAGAGGAACAAGTTCATAGCTATCTCCACTCTTAGATCCAACAGGCTAAGCCCATTGCTGCTCCACAGCTAAGGCAGACACAGCAGAAATGGAAACACCGAAAACCCCACTGATCACCTGAGTTCCTTCCCTCCCTCCCTCCCTTCCTTTTCTTCTTTCTTTCTTTCAAGACAGGGTCTCAATCTGTCACCAAGGCTGGAGTGCATTGGCACGATCTCCACTCACTGCAGCCTCTACCTCCCGTGTTCAAAGGATTCTCCTGCCTCAGCCTCCTGAGTAGCTGGGATTAGAGGCAACTGCCACCATGCCCAGCTAATTTTTGTATTTTTAGTAGAGTCGTGGTTTCACCGTGTTGGCCAGTCTGGTCTGGAACTCCTGATCTCAAGTGATTTGCCTGCCCTGGTCTCCCAAAGTGCAAGGATTACAGGTGTGAGCAACTGCCTCCAGCCCCACCTGAGATTCTGGAAGGCAGAGGATGGCTGCTGTGGGCTCAGGGCTCCTTCTCTTTCTCAGGGCCTCAGGTTCTCTTTGCCTCTGATGGGCCTAGCAGTTCTTTCTCAGACAGCTTAACAGGTGCCAAGACTAGAGGACTGGAGGGAATGGTACAGAGAGTGAAGTGAGGTGGTCAGCTTCTGTGCTGATGCTTGGTGGCTTCAACTAAATTCCTAATTTCCAGATCCAGGCTTCCCACTCCTGCCTCCCAGCCCTCACTGTGAAGCTGCAGGCTCTCATTGGTGAAAGGCTGGTTGGTCACCTCCTTGGACCTGGCAGCAAAGACGAGCACAGAGACCATGTCTAGGTAGAAGCGTCTCTTGGGAAAATGTTGGCCATGAAGATGCTGTGGGCCGAGCCACACAGAGCCCTGAGGTGGGACCAGGCAGTGGGTGAGTCAGAAGCGCCGCCTGGCTGAACATGGTGGCTCACACTTGTAATTCCAGCAGTTTAGGAGGCTGAAGCAGGTGAATCCCTTAAGTCTAGGAGTTCAAGACCAACCTGGGAAACATGGTGAAACCCATCTCTACCAAAAATACAAAAGTAACCTGGAAGTGGCATGTACACCTGTAATTCCAGTTACTTGGGAGGATCACTTGACCCAGGGAGGTTGAGGCTGTGGTGATCCGTGATTTGCACCACTGCACTCCAACCTGGGTGGCAGAGCAGTGCCCTGTCTCAAAGAGAAAAGAAACAAGGCGGGGCGCTGTGTCTCACACCTGTAACCCAGCACTTTGGGAAGCCGAAGCAGGTGGATCACTTGAGGTCAAGAATTCGAGAACAGTTTGGCCAATATCATGAAACCCCATCTCTCCTAAAAATCCAAAATTATAGCTAGGTGTGGTGGTGGGCGCCTATAATGCCAGCTACTCGGAGACAGAGACAGGAGAACCCCGTGAACTCCACAGGGGGAGGTGGCAGTGAGCCGAGACTGTGTCACAGCACTCCAGGCTGGGTGACAGAGCAAGGTCCAATCTAAAAATTAATTAATTGTAAAAAGATAAAATAAGCTATGACTTAGCACATTTCTATAATCCATCTCAAAAAAAAAAAAAAAAAAAAAAAAAACAATCAATATAAAAAAAAAAAAAAACAATAAAAAAAAAAAACTCTTAAAAAAAATCCCAAAAAAAAAAAAAAAAAAATTAAAAGTCAAGCCTGCCTGTGCCTCAACTGCTCTTCCCCACCTCACCCCCCAGCCCCACACCCACCAAGCAGGCTTCAGAACCTCCTTCTCCAGCCGATTTGCCCTGACACAGGTGGGCTGACCTGCAACAGGCGGGTAAGCATGTTGTTCCGAGGAGGCACACAGGGGAGGCCCTGGTTCAGCGCGTCCACTGCCTTGCCCAGCATAAAGCGGGAGGTGGAGCTGGCTCCACTCTCTTTAGCCCAAGGCTCTTGGTGCCTGTGCGCTGGCTTCCTCTGTGTCAGACTAGTCAATCAGGTAGAGTTTTCCCTCCTACTGGCAAGATGGGGCCAATCATTCCTGCTGGTCTACCTGGGAGTAGGAGCAGAGGTCTAGTGCTTGGCTCAGGCTCCAGGGCTCTCCCAGGTCCTCAACCCTGTCCACGGCCTCACCTTGACCTTGAGCACAGCATGACTGCAGGTGGAGCACTGGTTGAGCCAGGTGGCTCCTCCAGTCCAATTTCCATTGGCCGACAGGAAGTGCTGCTCAAAATCAGCAAAGCTCACTATGCTTGCTTTGGCAGCATATGCTAAAACTGGAACAATACAGAGAAGATTGGCATGCCCCTGCGCAAGGATGGCATGCAAATTTGTGAAGCATCCTGTGTGAAAATAATAATAACAGGCCAGCATGCTGTGGCCCACGCCTGTAATCCCAGCACTTTGGGCGACAAAGGTGGGTGGATCACTTGAAGTCGGGAGTTCGAGGCCAGCCTGGGCAACATGGCAAAACTCTGTCTCTACTAAAAATACAAAATTAGCCAGCCATCATGGTGGGTGCCTATAATCCTAGCAACTTGAGAGGTCGAGGCAGGAGGATCACTTGAACCCAGGAGGCAGAGTTTGCAATAAGCAGAGATCGCTGCCACTGCACTCCAGCCTGGGAGAAAGAGAGAG